GTCAGACAAACAGGAGACTGATCAGTCCGCTGTAAGTCATTATACATTTCTGTACGTAATTAACATCGGTGACCCTTTCTCTTAGCACTTCTATCCCCCCGCGGAGTAGGAGGCTGACAGCTGATGAGGATGGCAAGAGCGAGCGCCAGATGCGTTCTATGGAAAATTCCAAGGCCAGGCGCCAGCTGTCTCCCTGGCGTGCGGAGAGTTAATCAGCTTGATGTAAATGGGAACTTTGCTATATTTACAGTCAGCATCCATTGTGAGGTATTAATGTGACATTGCGGCACACGCGTGTCACATGCCCAGGAGGAGGACTCAAATCCTCACTAGCATTAGCCGAGGAGGTTTGCTCCGTGCACTGTGAAATGTTATAATAGAAGGACAAAGCTAATATTATATTTATATTATGCACTTTAGTTTTTAGCGCTGCACAATTCACACTTTATCTAATTTGACCCCAGGGTTGAGAGCGCAGCTGCTTTGATATTAGGATATTAAATCAGGGCTACCCATAAAGCGCGGATCCACATTTTTTACGAGTAACTTTTAAGGCCTGGCTAGTAGCTCAGGACTTGAAATTTTGAGCCCTGTAGTACATTACCATGTAAAACATTCCATCAAAGGTGTGAATGTTAATATCCTATGTTTGGGACCCTCTATTTTTTTAATGTTAGATGCAAGCCCAGCACCATAGGGAGGCATTAGTATTAATTAAAGGTCTAAAGCTAGCTAGGCCATCCCGGACGAACCCCCAACAGCCCACAATCATCAGTGCCTGGCTGGCTGGTAAGAACGAGGAAAGAATTCTCATGCAGCAGCACCAGTGCTACCAACACTGAGTGAGGTGAAGCAACACATAGCAGTCAGTGTGTGGTGCTACCCTTCAGCCTGTGACTTTCAGGGTGCATAGGCCAGCCAGTGTTAAGGGTGACATTAGGATTTGGTGTGAAGAACGTGGCAGTGGTAAAATAAAGTTTAAAAACACTAACCTTAATCTAACCCTCGACCCGTGACATTACCCAAACCCTTAATCTGACACACCGCTCGCTCCTTACCTAAACCTTAAAGCCTAACCCAGTCCATACAATGAGCCCTTTCCCATCCTCTAACTTCACCCTGAAATCTAACCCTGAATCTAACCCTGAACCTGACCCTAACCCTTAGCTCATAACAGGATTAACTTGGAAGCTGCCATGCTTGTTCCTCAGGGGGTGCTGGTCAACTGGCTGCCATTGCCTGGCTTTAATGCAGTCACTGTCCTGGAGTCGGGAAAAACAGCCAGGTGGCCGGCATTTTCAGAAGGTCAGCAAGGTAGATTGAGACGAATCTCATAACAGGGGCAGGGGCAGCTGCTGAGTTGTGATAGTGAATAGGGGTGTTACCTTTATCACTGTGCAGTCTGAACAGATATTAGTATTTAAGCAGCCAGAACACGTCACATGTGTCTTTGCAGTTTGCCGAGTTCCACTTTAAGGGTTATAGTTCAGAGTTCCCCTTTAAGCACTGAGCCATTGGGGGACTTGCACAACACTTACAGGCAGTTTAGTCCTTTCTCCATATTATGTTGTAGAATGTTACAGGCACTATTATCGCTGTCTCAGCGCACTGTCACTATCAATCTGGCGGCTGCAGTCTATGAGCCCGGCAGCTACGCGGGACCTCAGGCTAAGAAGCCTCCAGGGATGACGCTGGGAACGAGAAGCGTTGGGTCAGATGGTTGGGAATCGGCAGCACAGATTGTGGCTGGGAGGCTGCAGGTGGCTGGAAGTGCCACAGGAGAAGCCAATGATACAAGTCCCCCCTGTGCAGGCTCAGCCTGGAGCCACAGCTCCCCCTAGTGGCAGCAACATTGCTGCGCTGAGATACAATGTAACACACGCCGTCCAAAGACAGTCTATAGGAATGTTAGAAATGGATACACAGTGTGCGATTGTTACTCGAGCCGCTTTGTGGCCTTTTCTTAGTTCAATCTGCAGCCAGAAGCAGAATATGAAATGTATCTTCCTGAGGTCAGCAGTACTCAGGATTATCTAGACCAGGGGTGTCCATCAGGTAGATGGTGATCTATGAGTAGCTCTCAGAGCTGATGCTGGTAGATCAGGAAGGGGGGGGGGGGGGGGTTTTTGCTGGGACACCTTAT